TACTGTATAATCTGATTTGAAGAGAAGTGAGGGAGGGCTTTGGGTTTGAATGGAATCACTAGGAAAGGTTATTTCTTTTTCATAAGAAAGGTTATACATTGTGGCTTTACTATTCTGATTGAAGTGAATTCCCAAAACATTTATTCACTGATTTTATTATAAATACAAAATACCTATCTCAAAATTATTCATAAAATTTTGTCTGGTTCTCTATTATATCTTTCTGTTAGTGAGGCTACTCTTCCTTCTTATTTCAAAGTGTCTATCAGTCTAAACATTTGGGGACAGTTTTATAAAAAGAAAACAAGTTGACCTTTTGCGGAACTAGAATTCAGAATCCCATATAAAATATTTCAGTATTCTGTAAAAATATTCAGTAGACATTTGTTGAGCACATATTATATACCTGATATTTTGCTCAACACTGATGATACTTTTTAGCACATGATCTTACCTCCTTTTTCACTGAAAAGTTAAAATTCTACCAGGCAGTAACTTCTTCAGATTTCTACCTCTTATCTTAATCTTCACCTGACCTTGCTTTTCTCTTTCTTGGCTCCTAGGGCAGTGCACAGCTTGTACCTGTGTTTCCTCTTGTTAGCCCAGTGGCCTTTCTCCATTAGTTAGCATTAACCCATGTCTTAGAATCTTTATTGTGTTTACCCTGTAGGGCTTTTTAACCTGGAGCATGAGAACTTAGGGAGTTCTTGAACCCCTGAAATTGTAAAGTTTTGTATGTGTTTGCATTTAGGACGGACCCAGGGCTTTTGTTTAATTCTGAAAGCTTTCCTTGATGTAAAGAGAATTAAGAAACAAGTTTTTCTTCTTTTGTAACGACCCTTCAACAACCTTGGTTGTCTTCTAACTTTCACTCTACCTGTCTTCTCACAATCATGCTTCCTAAAAGAAATGTACATTTTCTATTTCCTTTTCCTTACTACTAGTTCATTTATTAGGCCTCATCAAACTTACTTCAACCCCTTTTCTACCATTAAAACTGCTTTGCTCCAGTCATCAAAGTTGATTATATTGAAAGTATTTTATTGAGTACCAGTTTTGTGCTGTGCACCTTTCTAGGCATTAGAAATATAGCAGTGACCAGATAGAGTCTAGATCTCTTGGAGCTTACCTTCCAGTAGGGGGAATAAACTAGTGAAGAAATAAATGATGTAATTTCAAATAGTGTAAGTGTAAATGACCTAGTAAGAGAGTGACTGAGAGAAAGGCTGCTTTAGGTAAGAGGTCAGGGAAGACCCTCTGACATTTCAGCCAAAGAGCTGAGCGGAGGGTCAGATGGAGCCAGCCATGGGCTGGGCCTTAAAATGGAATGATGTTGGTACAGTAGAGGAACAGGAAGAAAACCGATCTAGCTTGTGGGGGAACCAAGAAGAGACTGCTGGTTCTTTAGGGAAGTGAAGGCAGGGGCCAAATTACATAGAACTTTAAAATGTATGGATTTTATTCTGATTGCAGTGAGAAGCTATTGGAGTCTTTTTGAGCAGGATCTCATTGTTTTAAAGTAACTGTTTTGATTTCAGTTTGGAAAATAGTAGGGAGGGACAGTAGAAGCAGAAAGACCAGTTAGGAAACTGTTGCAGTAATCCATGTGGGAGATGATGGTGACTTGAACCATGGAGGCGGTAATAAAAATGGAGACAAGTGGGTGGATCTGGAGTTAGAACCAACAGGCCTTGTTGATGGATTTGATAGGGGTCAGGGAAAGAGGAAACAAAGAGGACTCCTCAGTTGTTTGACCTTGGGCACTGCCTGAATGATAGTGCCACTTGACATGGGAAAGACTGGGAGGGAACATAGAGGAGGTGGGGTTGAGAGCAGACTGCAGGTGGGAGAATTAGAAGTCTGTCTGCATGTGTTAAAGTTGCAGTGGCTGTGACATCCAGTAAACAACATAATGTGTTATGTGCTCCAATAGGGTATGTTCATAGCTTTTTGGGAACATGGGAAATACATTCTGAGTCCTTTGGAGGGAAGTAGAACTCAGACATACTCTTTTGTAGTCCTTGTCTCTCTATCCCCTTAGCATCCATGTGCATTCATTCCTCTGATGTGCACTAATCCTGCTGTACTCTAATTTCTGATTTATTTGTTCTGGACTTCCCTAGATTCTTTGAGGTCGAAATTGTAGTTTTTTATTTGTTTCTCATCTTTCTACCCCCAGAATCTAATATTGGTTCATCATTATTCTAGCTATTTACAAATTTGAGAATTGAATAAATGTGACCGTTACAGTCTGATAGCATGAACTGAAACCGTGGTAGGGATGGAAGCAATGTATTTGAGAGAGATTTAAGTGAAAAGACCAGTAGGACTTGATGGCCAATTAGATAAGTTGAGTCAGTGAGAGGAATTAGTAATAATAGTAATTGTTAATAGTAATGTATATAGCAGTTGTTTTAGCCAGGCACTTTTCTGAGTGCTTTACGTGTATGAATCCTCACAACAGCTCTTTGAGGCATGTACTGTTATCATTCCTATTTTATAGGTGAAACCTTGGCCACAGAAGTAACTTGCCTATAGTCATGCAGCTGAGAATCGGCAGAACTAGCATGGTGAACTTGAGCAGTCTGACACTAAGGAGCGTTCTCTTAACCGCTGTGTTGTGTTACTTCCCAATTGAGAATGATTGTGATTCTAGCTTGGATGTTCATGGTAACAGTTTGCTGCTCGCACAGTACTTTTACTTGCATTCTCTGGGATCTGTACAGGAGCACACGTTCCATTTCTAGTTCCATTTAGAGATCGTGGGAATATGGCAGATGTTCAGGTGGCAGGCTAGGCATGAGCATTTCAGATACACTGATTTCTCTCCTTTTTTTACTGCCTCCAAAGCTAGTGCAGGGAAAGTAGCAGCTCTAATATAGTTGCTCACAATTGTCAGGTCATCTCTTGGCCTCTTCTTCCTTCTAGTTCTAGATTAGTCTCTTAGGTAATTTTATAGAATCCCTACTTGACTTGAGTTTACCAAAGAGAAGAAGGAAAATTCAGTTTTATCTGCTTTAGTGTAAACTGCTTCTTTATCACCTCCACAAATTTTTATGACACCTTCCTATTATACAGACAACTCTGTGCCGTTTGGGGCAGCACAGAAAGCTCTAGGACATAGCTTGTTCTTAACATTTTAATGACTGTGTGTGGAAGATATATGTCCAGGAAAACCAAATTGCTACATAATTTGTTCTGTAACTAATATATACAAAAGTCTCAATGAAGAAATGATGACTATTCAGTGGAGAAGACGGAGAGAACCTTCTAGAGAACATGAAATTCAAGCCGAACCTTAGAAGTGTCTTTAGTTTAACAGAGAAGAGGGTGAGGGGAAGGCTTTTGAATAAAAGATAACGTTTCTGAATGTATAAAGAATGGGTGGAATAGTTTGGAATAGTTTGTCTTTAATAGAGGGATACTTGGAAGGGTCAAGTAGGAGATACATTTGGAGACTGGGAAGGGGCCAGATTATGAAGAACTCTGAATGCTAGGCAGGTTTAGACTTTAATTTCCCTGAATTAATTTTGGCTGGGGCCCATTTAAAATAAGAAGATGGAGAATAAGTAATAATTCAGTGCTCATTTCATGGTACACTCTATGGGTCTAGTTTCTGTACTAGCCAAATAAGGATCACTGAGCAGCTTTTAGGAAATTCAGTATTTCAGGCGTGTTGTGTATGAAAATCTGCATTTTCACAAGATTCCCAAGTGATTCATATATTCACTAAAAATTGAAAAATAGCATGGTGAGGAGTCATTTGATTCTCTTATTCTAAGTCAAATGTTTATATTGAGGAACATATTTTTTCACAGAAGCTGTGTAAGGAATGATAGTTAGGATTTCAGCCTACCCCATAAANATTTGATTCTCTTATTCTAAGTCAAATGTTTATATTGAGGAACGTATTTTTTCACAGAAGCTGTGTAAGGAATGATAGTTAGGATTTCAGTCTACCCCATAAAGGCCTAAATGATTCATCATTAGAAATACTCTGTGGGATCTAATGCTAAGTTCCAAGTGAGGCAGTAACTGGTGGAATAAAGAGCAGAAACTCAGACTTGCGTCTTGTTTAGGGAAAGAGAAAAGAGGTAAATCTGTCACACTGCTAAGCGGGGGATCAGACAAGGTGTGACTCAGAGTCAGCGACTGGGATCCTGATCCTGTACTTTCCTGAGCACTAGATTTTGGAGAACAGCAGTGTTGCCAGGAGAGACCTATGGTGCTTGTAGCAATTTTCTCTCCTTAACATAAAGGCAGCCTGGAGTCAGGGAAAGAACAAATTATTTTCCTAAATTACACAATTTCTATGAAGCACTGTGAAGTAAAAAAGCACAATATGGATTAGTCTGTGTAATATATTAAAGTGAAATATCTTGGTTTTTTGCACGTATATAAATATATACATGGGAAGAAATCCTAGAAATGGAATTCTTTGTACAGAAGCCATGTGCATTAGTATTATTGCTGGATTTAATTGTTCTCCATAAACATTGTGTCAGTTTACACCTCCACCAGTGATGTATAACAATCTTCCTCATGTATCCAACTGTTTTATCTTTGCCAGTGTGAAAGGATAAAAAGTGGGATCCACTGTTGCTTCACTGTGCATCCCTGTAACTGGTGAGAGTGAATATCTTTAAATCTATTTAAAAGCCATGTATGTGAACTATCCATATTTCTTTGCCAGTTTTTCTACTAGGGTTTTTCTTTTCCTTTTTTATTGATAGAAATTATTTATATATTAGGGAAATTAGCCCTTGGTGATATGGGTAGCAAAACTTTTTGGAAAACACAGGCCTAGAGGTAGACTACTTAATTTGCTGCTGACCCAATATTGCCTTAGTATGGTGATTGCCAAGGGGATAGGATGGAGTATGTCTTTTTTGAAAAACATGTTCAATATTATAGTTTTATATTTGGAAAACACAGAAAAAGTTTTATAACATAAAATGTTAAGAAAGTAAAGCTTGGTGAAATCCTCTTTATTGGTATAAGGTTAAAACCAATTGAAAATGTATCTAAGAATGTTAATTTCCAAAATTTATTGACGGTTGTGAGATATCACAAAACTGTTTTAAACTGAATGTCCTGGTATTATTCCCATTTTTTCCACTAGGTTACCACCAACGAACATGATTTTGGTCTAGGGGCTCCAGTTTCTGAAGCTGGAAAATACCAGAATACTCTCCAGCTAGAACAAGAAGTGAGAACTCAAGATAAATTCCTCTCTACACTAAAATTACAGGTTGCAAATTTACATATGTATTTATTTCTCTGAATTAGTTTTGGCTGGGGCCTATTTAAAATAAGACAGAGAATAAATACTAATTCAGTGCTGGTTTTATGGTTTTTATTTTATGGGTCTACAGTAATTTCATTTTTATCTTAACCATTTTGATACACATAGATTCAGAGTCAGTGAGTGCAAACTAAGTGTTGTATTAGGTGCTGTCAAGTACATAATCTTACTTCATCCCAATCTTGTGAAACTGTTGCTACTTCTGTTTTACAGACATGGAAGCTGAAATTCCAAGAGGTTAAAGGATTGTGATACTGGACTAATGAGTGACAGAGCTAGGATTTCTCTGAACTCCCAAGTTAGCTAGGATTTGAACCTGTTCTCTCACCTCCAAGTTCAGTATTGTTTCTCTTCTGGTACCTGATCTGTGGTGTAGCTATTAATAGAAATCGCCTCTTCTAGGAAGTAGACTGACTTCCCCTATTCCTCCTACTAAGTACAGCTAAACCCCCCGAACATTATGTATAAAACAAACATAACACTGAAAGGTGGGAAGAAAGAAGACTGACTAGGGACCTGATCTTACAATGAGCGACATGTTAGTGAGTTCCTAGATTTTCTTTTTGCTCTATATATTCCAGACAGAGTGCTGGAAAAACTTGCCCTCAGAAACAACAATGGGTGCAGACCAAATAAAAGGTCTCAGAAAAGCCATCTATCTCTAGCCAAAGGACTAGGAAAGGACAGCCTAGCAAGGCAGACTACTTTTAGACAACACAGTGGGAAAAACTGTAACCCTGTTCCTGCCAGCAAAGGCTAAGTAAAGAGCCTAGACTTCTACCCTTGCCAGGCTATAACAAGAAGCCCCACCTGCACCTCGTACTCTCCCCGTGATCCCCCACCAAGTTCTCCATCCTGACAAGGTGGTATCAGAGAGGATGGCTGAGTTGGGAACCAAGACTTTTCTGCCCACAAGGCAGTCAGTAAGGGAAGTTTGCAACCCCATATGTGTGTAAACCACATGGGGAGCCTGTACATCTACCCCCACCTGGTAGTATGAGGTGCCCCCTTTCCTCCTTGCTGGAGTTGTCAGAGGAGACAGTGCAGAGTTAGGGCTTTTACCATGACCCAGCATTAACAAGTCCACCCACCTACAGTGTCTGTGGAGGACAGGAGAGAGCAGTAATGAGGCACCTTTGTTTTTCCTAGCTGTTATCAGCATAATCCTAGTGAGGAGCCTGAACTTCCATCGCTGCCTAGTAGTACAAGGAGCATCACCTTCTCTAGGTGTCCATGGAAGCCTTAGGTAGAAACTGGACTTCCATCCCAACTAGCAGGAAAAAGGCAGTGTCCCTGTTTTCTAGTTGGAGCAGTGTCACAGGAAGCCCACTAAAACACAAGAGCTAGAGTATTAGAGTACCAGGTTTTAAAAAAAAAAAAAAAAAAAAATCACCTCTCAGCCCCAGAATCAGGAAGATCTAAATTTCAATGAGAAAAGACAAGATATAGCAACACAGAGATGAATTATATACTACAGTTATCTTACAAGGATTTTAAATTAGCCATCTTATAAGTGCTTTAGCAAGCAATTTTGTGAATTCCTGAGACACACAAAAGAAAACAGAAAACCTCAGCAAAAAAATAAAAGATCCAAAGAGATATAAAGAAGAACCAAATGGAAATTTGCAAGTAACCAGGCTCTTTCATAAGTGAATGGATAAACAAACTGTGGTGCATCTGTAGAATGGAATTGTAAAAGGAAATGAGTTATCAAGCCACAAAAAGACATAAAGGAACCTTGAAAGCATATTGCTAGGTGAAAAAAGCCAATCTGAATAGGTTATATACTCTGATTCCAACTGTATAATCATCTGGAAAAGACAAAACTTAGAGACCTTAGAAAGATCACTGCTTACCAGTGATTTTGAGGAAGTGAGTGATGATGAATGGAGTACAGGTGGTTTTTAGAGCAGTGAAACTTTTCTGTATGATACAATAATGATGATTACATGTCATTATACATTTGTTAGAACCCGTAGAATCTACAACCCAAAGAATGAACCCTAATATAAACTATGGACTTCAGTTAATAATGTATCAATATTGGTTCATCAGTTGTAACAAATGTACCACACCATTATAAGATGTAAATAAGAGAGTAAAGTAAGTGTGTGTGTTTAGGGGTGGCAAAACAAAACATATGTGGGAAATCTCTTTAATTCCCTGTCAATAATTCTATAAGCCTAAAACTGCACTAATTTTTTTAGTACAAGTCTTTTAAAAACTTAAAAAAAATTTTTTTTAAATATGTTTTTATTGATTTCAGAGAGAGGAAGGGAGAGAGACAGACAGAAACATCAATGATGAGAGAGTCATTGATCAACTGCCTCCTGCTTGCAACCTGCTGGGTATGGAGGCTGAAAGCTGGGCATATGTCCTGACTGTTAATTGAACCATGACCTCCTGGTTCATATTGTTACTTCATTGTTGGTGTATAAAAATGCTGCCAATTTCTGAATATTAATTTTGTATCTAGCTACTTTGCAGAATTATTTATTATATCTAGTCATATTCTGGTGGAGTCATTTCTATGTACAATATTATGTCATCTGCAAATAATGACAGTTTTACTTTCTCCTTTCCAATTTGGGTACTTTTTAATTCTTCTTGTCTGATTGCTGTGGCTAGGACTTCCAGTAACATATTGAATAATAGTGGTGAAAGTTGACATCCCTGTCTTGTTCCTGATCTTAAAGGAAATCCTTTTAGTTTTTGCCCATTGAGTATGATGTTGGCTGTAGGTTTGTCATATATAGGCTTTATTATGTTGAGGTATGGTCCCTCTATTCCCATTTTGCTGAGAGTTTTTATCATATATTGGTGCTGGATTTTATCAGATGTTTTTTCTGCATTTATTAATATGATGTGATTTTTATTTTTCATTTTGTTTGTCACATATCACATTTTTTGATTTGCAAATACTGTACCAGCCTGCATTCCTGGATTAAATCCAACTTGATCATGGTGTATGATCTTTTTAATGTATTGTTGGATACAGTTTGCTAATATTTTGTTGAGGATTTTAACATCAATGTTCATCAGTGATATTGGCCTATAATTTTCTTTCTTGGTAGTGTCTTTATCTGGTTTTGGAATTAGGATAATGCTGGCCTCATAAAAGGAGCTTGGAAGTCTTTCCTCCTCTTCAATTTCTTCAAACAGTTTGAGAAGGATAGATGTTGGCTCTTCTTTGAATGTTTGGTAAAATTTGCATGTGAAACCATCTGGTTCAGGACTTTTGTTTGGGGGGGCTGTGTGTTTTTTAAATTTTTTTTATTACTGTTTCAATTTCATTAGTTGTAATCAGTTTATTCAGGTTTTCTTAATCTTCCTGATTTACTTTTGGAAGATTGTATGTTTTTAGGAATTTCTCCATTTCACACAGGTTGTTCAATTCTTTGGCATAGTATTTTCTTACCATCCTTTGTATTTCTTTGCTATTAGTTTTTACTTCTCCTCTTTCATTTCTGATTTTATTTATTTGAGTCCTCTCTCTTTTTTTCTTGATGAGTCTAGTTAAAGGTTCATCAGTCTTGTTTATCTTCTCAAAGAACCAGTTCTTGATTTCATTGATCTTTGGTATTTTTTTTCCATCTCTATGTCATTTATTTCCATTCTGATCTTTATTACTTCCTTCGTTCTACTCTGGGCTTTGTTGTTTTTTTCCTAATCCTTTTAGGTGTAGGGTTAGATTATTTATTTGAGATTTTTCTTACTTCTTGAGGTAGGCCTGTAATGCTATCAACTTCCCTCTCAGGACTGCTTTTGTTGTGTTCCATACATTTTTGGTTGTTTGTGTTTATTTTCATTTGTTTCCAGGTAATTTTTTATTTCTTCCTACATCTTATTTTTAACCCATTCATTATTTAATAACATGCTATTTAGCCTCCATGTGTTTGACTGTTTTTTATTATAGTTGATTTCTGTTTTCATGCCATTGTGATCCAAGAAGATGCTTGATATGATTTCAATGTTCTTGAACTTGTTAAGACTTATTTTGTGTCCTAGCATGTGGTCTCTCTTTCCGAATGTTCCATGTGCTCTTGAGAAGATTGTATTTTCTACTGCTTTGGGACGAAATGTTTTGTAAATATCAACTAAATCTACCTGATCTGGTGTGTCATTTAAGGTTGCTATTGCCTCATTGATTTTTGTGTGGAAGATCTACCCATTAATGGCAGTAGGGTGTTAAAATTCCCTACTATGACAGTATTGCTGTTGATCTCCCCCTTAATATCCACCAAGATTAGCTTTATATATTTAGGTGCTCCTATGTTGGGATGCATATATGTTTACCAGGATTATATCCTCTTGTTGGATCCATCCTTTCAGCATTATCTAGTGACCTTCTTTGTCTCCTTTATGGTCTTTGTTTTGAAGTCTGTTTTGTGAAATATAAGTACTGCTACCCCAGCTTTTGTTGTTTCCATTTGCATGAAATATTTTTTTTCATCCCTTCACTTTCAGTCTGTGTGTATTTTTTGTTCTGAAGTGGGTCTTTTGTAGACAGCATATATATGGGTCACATTTCCTTATCCATTCATGTACTCTTTATCTTTTGATTGGAGCATTTAATCCTTTTACATTTGAGCTTATTATTGATAGCTACTTATTTATTGCCATTTTATTCTTTATACCTATGTACTTCCCTCTCTTGATGGCTTTTTCTTTCTTCTTCTTAAAGTAGGCCCTTTTTCACTTTTTGTAATATTGATTTGGTGGTAATGAACTCCTTTACCCTTTTTTTGGGGGGGGGGGCGGTCTGTGTAGCTCTTTATTTTCACCTCAATTTTAAATTATAGCCTTGCTGGATATGGTAGTCTTGGTTGTAGGTCCTTGCCTTTTTTTTAATCACTTTTAGCATTTAATGCCAGTCTCTTCTGTTCTGAAGTGTTTCTGTTGAGAAATCAGCTGACATGGGAGCCCCTTTGTAGGTCTTGCTGCTT